AGATAATAGCTCAGAAAAATAAGATAACCTTCCCAATGAGCCACTGTTCTCTATTCTGCTCATTAAATAACAAGCACATTTAAGTAGCTTCAGAATAGACAAGGGTAACAGTCAGTTAGCTGTTTAACAACCCGATGTTATTCAGTGATTTCTTCCATTTAGAAATCTAAATAGTTCTAAAAAACTTTTACCAACAAACATGCCTTAGCAATTTTATGTTTCTTCTTAGAAAGCTGACAATTCTATTATAAAAACTGCATTTTCAATGTATTTATTGCTGATTAGTAGTAATTATAGGAGCATTACATCAAATACAGGTGTTTTCTTTTCCCCCCTTTTTCTTATTTTTGTTGAAGTCTCCCTAGCTATTTTCACCTTCTAAAACTGCAAATGATTCAGGGTTTTTATTTCTCAAAGTGCACCTAGAACTTAAGACAAACTGTTTATAAAATAGATTTTTAAAAAAGACTACACTAGTAAAACCAAGTAGCTATTAATCACGTAAAATCCAGAAACACTGTTTGTAAAGTTACTTCCAATACACCAGCCTTCAATGACTACAAAAGAACAAAGCAGTGATGTTTCAGCTGATGATCTCATCTTCCTTAAAGCACCATACAGGTCACAGTCCCCACCAAAACTATACTTGTAGTGACACCTGCTGTTCTTGGAAAACTCAACAGCTTGTTCATTGAATCACCTGGTGCTCTTACAACACCAGACAAGCCATAGAGCCCCACGCACTTACCTTAAGCCAATTATCTCTACCGGTCCCACTTAGTTACTCCTCTTTGGTCCCATTTGGTTATTTGTTTGTGGCTCTCCCTCGCCAATACAAGCATTAATTTTGCCCCCACCTCCACACAAATTTTTCCAGTAGTTCAAGTACAGCACAAGTGAACTACTTGTGAATATCCATCAATGTAGAAAGCCATTTTAGAATGATATTTATCAACTATTGAGGCAGAAAGCCTTTGGTACACACTCTGGAGAGTGAGGATTTGTATAAATCAGCAGCCCAGAGCACTTACTGGTTGGTGGGCCAGTTGCCTGGTACGGTGAGTAGCTGGCTGAAACAGTGGGCCGAGAAAAGACTGGAGGCTCCTCAGCAAACACCACAATCATAACTTGAATCAGTTCCAGCAGGTCTGACTGGGGCTGCAAGGATACACACATGACAAGTTGGTGCCATCTGCTAACAGCTGGTTTTACTGACTGTAACAACAGAATGGGACCATTCCACACGCACACATATACGTGTATTTATTGCTATTTATGCTACGCAAACGCTGAACTACCACTCACATTTATTACATTTATTCCTCCCAATCACTTTTGATAGAACTAAGCCTATTCTACAGTTACGGCCCCATCAGCACATTTCATCTTTTTTGAAAGTTCACATTTTAGTTAAAATGTCTGAGGCCTGCACTGCTGGATTTAGTTATTAATAAATACACCCAAAGCCCCAGCAAAGTCTACCTGAAGCAGTCATACAGCACTTCATCTTAATCTGAGATCAATTTCAGCCCAGAGATGCGTCAAAGAATTTGTAGTTCACCTTCAGTAAACATTCTGGTCTCACAGTAAATATTCTTATCTTCAGGTCAGCTCCCTACTAGGCAAGGAAGCCTATGCTGCACTGTTCAATCGGACGGGCTGTCACTAAAGGCACAATTAACCAGACAACAAAACCCACAGCAATCTGAATGTTAAGATATTAAAAATAACAAGCAGTTGTTTCAAAGGAAAAAAAATATCTGGATTAATATCTCAGAAAAAGAGTTACGTTTCTTGTAACAGATGGTACAACTATCTGAAAAAAGAAATTAAAAGAGTAAATTAACAAGCTGAATTTCCCTCTACTTACGTATTTCCACTCATGCAGGTAAGGAAGGTATATCTTTCCATTAGCATCAACATGCTTCCCAGTTTTTATTGTCATTGAACTAGTGGGTTTAACAAAACAGATTGGGGGATTGAAAGGGTAGGTGTCCAGCAGCCACAAGCAAATGGGGATATTGTATATGTTACCTAGAAAGATGATTTGAAAGATTTTAGGAGTGCTGTCCTTTTATATTCAGATGTTTAAAGCATACATAAAGTACCGAAAAGAGTACTGAAATATAAACAGAAATTAGAGAGCTGCACAAGCACAGAGGAGCAGTGATATGCACTACAGTTTGGTTCCATAACAAAACCAGAAACAAATATTTAAAATATGACACCACGGACAAGTGAAAGCTTTCACAAAAATGGTGATCACTGAAGTAGTGTAACTGAAGCATTACGAATATACACAGCTTTTCACATGATTCTGTACAATAAATATAACCAGCAATAAATATAACATGCATAACAGTGACTATATTAATAATAAAGGCATACCTCTGTAAGGCACAGGAATGGTTCCACTGAGGCTCATCAACTCTCTAGATGAACCGTCGTTAAAAACTGAAAGGGAGCAGAGGGCATTTTGAACACAAACCTATTTGCTGTGTTAATCTCTGTTCAGGTGATAGCCTGTCTACTTGTTAATGTACATTTTCAGAAGTCATGTGTGAACACACGTACACATACACAGATACACACTGTATCAACACAGCTTGAGAAGTTCTGCTCTTGCACATCTCCCTGGCAAATGGTTGCCTATAGTCAGATAACTCCTTATGAATAACATATTCCTGAGAGATGGTTTACTAATTATTGACAAACTACCTTTACTGCAAATAAAACTGCTTCCTTCTTTACAGCTGAAGTAACACATGAATTTTCTCATTTCACCCTACCAACCAGCTGCTATTGGCTCTGTGCTCAAATCTTCCAAGGCAGCTTTGGAAGAGACAGGTAACAGAAATGAGCTTCTTGCTACAGCTCAATGCTATTCTTAATTCTTAATCTTCATTCAAACTTGCATACTTTAAAGCACTGTCACAACTGTTCATTTTTAGTGAAGTATTTACATTAATTTACAATACTTTTAAAATAGACAGAACTGTACATGTATCTTTGCATCACAGCAAATTTGAACTTGTAAGATATCAGCAATCTCCAGGGCGATAGGACATATCTGAGTGACCAAATAAAAGCTGAAGAGGTGGAAAAACATACCACCTCCTGGCACCTTTCTGTATTACTGAGTCTATTTCAGAAAATTAATGTCTGTTCCAGGAGAGTACTGACATCAAAGTTCAAAAAGAATAACTTTAAATTCTAAATTCTAGCTTGAACTCCCTACTCTCCACAAAAACTATCAGATACATCTTATACAATGAAACTCTGATAAGAAGAACTTGCTCAAAGCCTTACCATATGAATCCATAACAGGTTTGAGGTCCTTGTACTGAGAAATGACACTGTTTGTCTCCTGTATAGTTAGGTCTCTGTACTTATACTGGAAAACAAAAGAGAAAAGAAGTCATTAGAGCCTAAAGATGCAGTGTAAATTGCTTTTTGTTTCACAGAATAGCCTCTGTTTATGGAAGTTACCCATGGGCATTCTTCAGCACTCTTACTTTTGAGTGAGATTTTATTTTTTTTTTTTTTTACATAATCAAACCAAACACTCCATTAACACCTTGAACAAGGTATTAGGATGTTTTCATTCTTAAATAAGAGTTCACAGATCAAGTTCTGGGGAAAGCTATCACATTTCATTCATATTCTGCCATAATCAACATTGCATTTTAAGCAAAGGCAAGCTTGGGACAAAGCATTTATCAGAAGTTAGTTACCAGCATCATGCAAGGCACACATTAGAAGAGGCCATACTACAAACACTGGTTTCATCCCCTTACATTCATCTCAGCACAGACCTGAAGTCTCAGAACTATGACCCACAGACAAGAGGAGATGCTCCTGGCTAGCAGAGAGCTGTTTCACCACATGGTGTGGATCTTCACCCTTGTGGCCTTTCTTCTCGCTCTCTCCCTCAATAGAACAGAGCATGTAACTACTCGTGGAAAATGAAGGCAAGTGGTGAAATAGTAACTTCGTTTTTCCATCAGGTGCAAAAAGTTTCCCCCCACTTTTCACTGAGCTGACAGGAAGCCAGATGCCACTTGTGGTTTAAGAAGGGCACGAGGTGGAGTGGGAAAAGAAGGCACCGCACTGCCTTACCTCCTTATGGCATGTCGCACCTCAGCCACTCCTTTAGGGAAGCCGGGTGAGTACAAAGACGCACACCTGCTTACCCCACGTTTGCGATCAGCATTCAGTCTCCAGCCGATGACACAAGGACCAAGTGGAGGAAAGGACCTCCAACCGCGAGCAGCCCTTAGCCTGCCACAGCTCGCTTTTGGGCGGTACCAACAATACGACTGAACGGTAAGAAAGCAAACGCCCCCAAGCCAAAGCCACGGCTCCTCGCAGCTACCCGGCCACAGGGATTTTGGTTTCAATCTGCTGGACGAGGCCCGGTTTCCAGCTGACTAACAGCGTACCGCTACCGCACGGCTCGCACCGCCTCGATGACCAGCAGCCATTTACCTCACCGCGAGTTTTGTTTCCTCAAACGTCACCCATTAGAAAACAACACCCCCCTCCGCCGCCCCGCCGTAGCCCGTGCCCGCACTCCGCCTCCCGGCCGCGTCCGGCGGAGAGGGAAGGGCCTCTCGAGGCGCCAGGCCGCCGCCTACCTTGGCGAGCATTTTCTTCAGCTGGCTCTCCGAGAACGCCATGGCGGCGGCTGCCGCCCGCCCCCCCAACGCAGGCAGCGCCGCGAGCCCGCTTCCGCCTGGCACTGATGGCACTTCCGGGCGGGAACAGCGCCGCCCGACAGCACGGCGCGGTACGACTACGGCCCTGCCCGCATGGGGCAGCGCCCCCCCTGGAGGCGGGACGAAGTGCCGGCTGCTGCTGCTGCCAGCTCGTCAGTGATTAAAAAAGGGCGTGCGGCATTTGGGGATGAAAACCATTACCTAGAATCCCCAACACGAACACCTGGACTGTTCACGCTGGGATAACAAACGGAGGGAAATAAACACACAAACCAACACAAGTCCGGCCCCAGCACTGGGCACTTGTTTAATGTAGTGTTTAAGTCACACAGCTGCTGTTAGCACCCATTCTGCCCCACCAGAAAGGAAACTTTAGCATTCACTGAAAACCCACCTGAATTACCCAATTACTATATATGTATATAGTAATATATATATTATATATATATAATTACACTATTTTTATCAATATAAAATCCTGGTTTATGCAGCGCTGGCTCTTTGTAGATACAAGTGGAAGGCAGGAAGGAATAATCTTTGGCTCTGACAAGTATTCTACTTGTTCTCTGGAGGTTCCATTGCTATTTCAGAAGCCGTAGTTCAGCACACGCCCAGGGAATGACAGGCTGATGCTGCACATAGCAGCAGAGACACCCATGCTGCTCTGGTTCTGCAGCCCGATGCTCATCTATACCTGGGCTGAATGCAGTCTGCTCTCTCACCAGTGCAACCACACCAGAGTTTAGAACACAGAAAGCTCTTCACCTTAAAAAAATACGTGCTTTTTCATCTAAGAATTTGCATCTTTTTCCATCGTGTCTTTGGCCTTCCTGCAGAAGGATACAGATCCTGTTGCCTCCTCAAGGAGCTACCCTCTCCTCCTCAGTCGGGCAGCAAGTAGCTTTGGATCAGAGCTTGAACTCTAGCCACCTCCACGCTGCCCAATGGGCAGACCTCATTCCCTGCCTGGTGCCCATTCCCACTTCTCCTTTCAGGAAGGGCACCCATTCTGCTGCTGCACGGGACATACCAACACCTGCAGATACTTTCGTGCTCTGAACACCCTTAGAAAATAAGAGCTAACAAGTCACCCAATGACAGAGACTCAGATATCAGTAAATATACAACAGAAATTCATACGCAATACTTCATGCTTTCACATTTTCTTTCCCCATAGTAATATGCAAGAATAGAGTCCATTGACATTAGACTGCCTGCAATAGGTTGCTGCCCTGCAACCATATTCTGGGCAAGCCCATACCAGCCCTCAGAAACCAGGAGGAGCTCTTGTTGGCTCTGCACACCAGAGCTTCCAAGGTGCTGGATAAGTTCTTGTCCTAGGCTGTGTCCTAATGAGGTGCACAGAGCTATGAAAAACCCAAGAATCAAGCCATCATTAGCAGCAAAAACAAAACAGAATACAAAGAAAAAGAACCAGGCAAATGTTACCTGATCTTAGACAAAGTATTCTTGCACTTCACTCTGCCCATTTTGGCTACCGAAAGTGCACTTTTCAAGTGGGACATTCCAACCGGGCAGTGCAGTATTAAATTATTTCAACCAACAGTAAGTAAGGAAAACACTTTTGAAAGCAAGTTAAAAAAATTTGTTTGGCATAGAAAAACGTACGCACCAAGCAACCCTTCGTGCCTAGCAAAGCTTCAACTTGTGTGAGCAGATGCTGTAGCTTCCTTAGTGCTTACAGTTTCAGCTGCTGCTGAAGGTCATGAATTGATCCTGCACTGCTTTGCAGTTTCTCTTGTACCAGCAGATCTTCTTCTAGTGTGATCGTTTCAATTACTCCACTGGTTCCAAGAACACATGGAAGGCTTAAGAATACTTCACTGTTTATACTGCAAAATCCCTAAAACACACAAAGAACACTGTCACACAAACACACATTTCTGCTCTGTTCTTACCTGAAAAGCAACGAAGTAACTTTTTTAATTTTAACTAAGCAAGGACACTTCTTCACATGGCATGACTTTGTAAATCTCCAATTATTTTAGATTCTGTGCAACAGATTACAGCAACAGTAAAGTATTACTGCACAGGTAAAAAAAACTTTGGTGCCACAGGAATTATTTCCTAATGCAAAAAATATCAGACCTCTGCAATGCAGGCAAAGCTTATTCTACAAGATACAGTTTAAACAGTTTTCTGGGTAGAGCAAGCAGTGGTACTTTTTGTACAATCAGTTCTCCTGAGACTGAGCAAAATGATTGTTACAATACAGCCAAACAAAACTAACTGAGGAAAAACTTTCAAATACTGATCATGTATTCATTCTATAGAGACTTTCCCAAAGTTACATCACTATAATTCACTAACAATATTGTCACACTATAATGGGATGATAATAGCAGGGCGGCAAAGTCTTTGGCTACAGCAAATGAAAACGAGCCCAAATGCAGCACCATGGATACAGAAAGGAAAGAAAAGAGCTGCTCACCTTTGGAAGGCCTCAGGTAGGCAGGAATCTCCAGCAAGAGATGCCCTCCCCTGCAGTGCCAACCCTTAAATGAGGTCTGGGAAGGGGCAGATCCTGGCTCCACCCCTTCTGGTCACTCAGATACACTGCATACACATGAGCTCCCCTGGGTTGGCCCTGCCTTCCCACCAGGTGCTCAATCACTGCTTCAAACTGTGACTTAGCATTTCCACTACAAGTACAGGTTTTGTTTCTTTATAGGAGCTGTATGTGAAATTTTACATTCTGTAGTTACTCTACAGTTTAAGAGACTTGGCACTCCTCTACTTTTGTGTTTCATTTGTAGACAATTACAAACTTGACTTGAAAAAATGATGAAATTAGCTGTATATCTGTTACAATTGACACAGTAAGAAGAGTTTTGCGCTCCATTTCCCTGCACTGAGAACCGTGAGGGGCACAGAAGCAGCCAATAATGGTTTCTATAACTTTTTTCCCTCCTCTGAAATGCCTTAAAACTTTAGTGAAGCCTCTTTGGATGAACTTAAAACTGTGGGCTAAACCTTGTATGACATTACATGTACCTTAATCATCTAAAGAATGCAAAAGCAGATAAACCTTTCAAAGCTGGTCAAATAAAGTACTGGCAGGAAATGCATTTGATACTTTCCTAAGTGATACTGAACTCTTTTGGCCCCTGGAAAAATATACACCGAACACTTGGAAACTGTGACGCATTTCTCTTCATTTGCCAAACTGAGCTGCTCCTGGGGAGCTGGTCAGCAAACATGAACACATTTTCCCCCAAATGCTTCTATTTGTTTTGAAAACAATCTACTTCCAATGTTGGTTTCAGGTTAATGCAACAACTGATCTGTACTTCATCTGGACTGGAATTAAAAAACTCCTGTTGGAAGACAGCAGTAACCATAATGCTCCTTCCAAAAAGCTGCTTTATGCAGCACGTCTGTGCTGATACAAATTAACTGTCACATCCAATGTAAATCACGTAACTGTAGTAGCAACCAGAAGATATTAATAGCACATTACCTTCGCAAGAGTGGATACAGAATGAACCTTCCTTTTATCTTTCAGGATACTGTCAGTTAAATCAGCAACTGAGAGCCCAACAGACCAGGATCTCTGACCCTTTCCCTTGAGAACTTCCACAGCTCTAAATAAACCAGGAAAAGGGGAAACATAGAATGTTTAGATTTTAATTAATCCTGTTTTGATTCATATGTTGAAACCTTATAGACAGGTAAGTCTACATAAGAACATGATTCTTCATTCTGAAAAATTACATAAGAAAATAATGAACTGCTAAAAAGAATGTCTTCATATATATTTTACCCAGAGTAGTAACAGTTCTTTTTTCTGGCTAATTAAATCATGTAAATTGATCCAAATTTCTCCCTAGCTTTGAAGTTTACTGCTTTCACACAGTCTCTGAGAAGTGTGCTAGAAAGCTTGCCTCTCTTTTTCTTTTCAGTGCATGTAATCTGTAATTGAACTGGCAACTCTGAAACTCTGGTGTATCTTCCGCCAAGCTCATCATCTCATCCTTAGGGATCACTGCGGGCAAAACATCGTTTAAAGCAGAAGAACATCAAGTGTATACACCTGCATGGAAATGAATGACACACACACCTATGGGCTCCAGGAAACTCGATGTGTGAACATTTTACAGCAAACTTCCTCCTGTTTGTAAGGAACTGAGGAAAAGAAAACAAAAAACCCCAAAAAACTGCAAACCAAGTGTTAAAGCATGTAGAAAAACGTGAAAGTTATGTCGGAGTTACCTGTTAGCCACCTTTTCTCTGGAGTCATGAGCAGCAATTGTTTCTGTTTCATTTGTAACTGACTTAGAGCTGGTCCATGATGGTACTGGACAGAAACAAACACAGCATTAAGTGTACACCTAAGCAGCAACTAAAATAAGGATGAAAAAGGTTGGGGAGAGATAAAAAAAGGATATTAATTAATTAATTAAAAAGGAAGCTTTCAAACCACCCTTTCCTCATAACAAGCCAAATGTAGGGTCTCTAGATTGCAGAAATAAAATGATACCAGCACTCTTCCCAAGACACTTGCTTAAAAATGAATTGCTATGCAAAAAACGTCACATCAGCAGTAGCCTAACATATCTTACACCACACTTCCTTCCTCTTTCAATACCTCTAATCTGCATCGCTGCACCAAATACAAAGCATTTGAGGCTATATACGTATATTTTTTTACACAGTGACAAATGCAAAACACTTTTGCAACAACTCCAGGCCTACAGGCTTGGGCACAGACCAGAATCTTACTATTTAGAACCACTATTAGTAAAAATCACTACCCTGCTCATTACTACCTTTAGTACGTTTTTCAATCACTCTGTCATTAATACCATTAGTTAAGTACTGTCAGGACATTAAATACTCATAATGAGTATCACTTTACCTTTGTCTTCCCCTTGTTCACCAATAATCCAAGCATCTTTTCCCAGCGTCTCTGCTTGCAAAAGCTTTGTGAGTATGTACTGAAATCTCTCAGTATCCAGATTGCCACCTACTCCAATAACTCTGCTTTTGGGAAATGCGCTCAGCTTCCATGATACGTATGTCATAATTTCAACTATATATGAAAGAGAAAAGATGTTGACAATAAAGGATCGATCAAAATTCAGCCCATTTGCAAACTGTTAGTCAGAGTTACGTAACTCCAGAGCAACTCATTTACTTTAGAAAAGGAAAAAGCATTTTTTGAGAATATTTCAGTTTATTTAAACCAAAACAGCAAGTCAGATGGGGAGATGACGGAGGAAACTCACAGCCCACATGAAGTTTTCAGAGAAGTCAAGTGAAACCTCAGGATGAGTCACTATGCTTCCCTTCACCACAAATCTCACATACTTCTAAATTTAATGCATTAGTGGTTCCCTTCCCCGATCCCCATTTGGCAAGAACTCTTTTCCCCATTTTCACAGGTCTAAAATATAAGAAGGCTAAGAAGCACCTGAAAAACAGAAAAGGGCTAAGGATGCCTTCAGCCTGTTTAAAGGACAGATAGGTTCACGTGTACTTCTCTTGTAAGAGCATTTTTGCTTTTCTCTTTTCATAGTATTACTGAGCACACAGATTTAGACTTTTCCTTAAAATACAGCTGCAATATAGTCCATGAGTTTCATCACAGAACACACAACACATACACACATGCATCTACCCTTACTGCGCAGGAGAAATGTAAAAAACACTCACAGCTGACAAGACAACAGTCAATGGTTGCTAATCTTGTAGATACAGTGACATTTAAGCTACATACAGAAATATGCAGAAATACATACCTTTCAAACAAATCAAAGTACACTATTTTCTTTTATCTTGGTAACAGTTAAAAAAACACTGTGTCCTGCTCAGTGCTGTAAAGGAAAACATCTTTCAGAGTAGCAAGAATTTCTGACTAAGAGTGCATATTCGACAGCAATGTGTTTTTTAAACAGCCCAAAGAGAAGCCATCACAGGGACAGAACATCAGGTGAAGGGCCAACACACCTGGCTGAGAAGCAACAAGCAGCACGGAGTTCTGACTGTAGTGCGATATTGCTGGGATAATTCCTCGGAACAAATCCACATTGCTCTGTATGACATCCAGGTACGTCTGAGCATTACCCAGAGAGTTCACTGTAAGCACCACAACTTTTGAATCAGTTGAAGTTGAAAAATCTGAAAATATAAAGAAAATGTGTTTTAAGAACGTGTGTAATTGTATCGAGTTTTAGGTGCAAAACCAAAACACTACTCTAAATGCTGAACTGCAACATCCAATTTAAGTTGAGGATTCTTTCCTTCCTATCTTGCCTCCAGCTCCCTGTCTGCAACATGGAGCACTTCTGCAGCACCTGTAAACAGCTCTCCCACAGAGCTAGTTTTCCCACCTTCTAGTTGACAGACAGAAGAGAATGAAGCTTGGCCAAGATGACAGAGCACAGATCAGAAAACAGTTCTGACACAAGTTTCCCATCTTAATTTTCTCAGCAAGGGAGCAAAAAATACATTTACAGAAAAGATCCTTCATTTTTACTCCAACTTCTCCAACTTAAAAAAGAAAGGCAGAGACTTCATTTCAACAACATAGGAGCTTGCTATATCACAGCTACATATAAATATTTAATACGTAATGACAAAAACATAAACAGAAATTTGTGCCATGGTTACACAAGGAGAGCTTAGGAAAAGAATGCACAAGCATCACAATTTGCAAGATAAGATCAAAGGATGTAGAACAGGCAATGCCAGGTGGAAACTGAACAATCAAGTAGAATACCTGGTGGAATGGGAAACTGAGATAAACTACGTTAGAGGCACATGAAAGCCTCACTTCTTGTCTTGCAGAAGGTCTGAAGCATGAAAAAGCACCGTGGACAAACAAGAAGTGAGGATGAAAAAGGTCATTCTACTCGCTTCCATCTTCTATTGTAGAAGAGCTTTTTTTACCATCTCAGCCTCTGCAACTAAGCTTATCAAGGACTGTACTCATCACCACTAAGTATGGGGACATAATTATTGATTCTGCTGAACTGTACACTAGCAGCTAATTGACAACCAGCTCACAGAATCATCTGGTCTGGAACAGACCTTCAAGACCACGAGGTCCAGCCATCCATCCGACCCAGAGTCCCATCACTAAAACATGTCCCTTAGTGACACATCCACATGTCTTTTGAACGCTTCCAGGGATGGGTTAAGAATTAATTTATTGAATACATAATGATAATGATTAAGAATTAACCACTGGTCATAAACTGATGTTTTAACAAACATCAGTTGAGGAAGGTAGTACTTTGAAACTCACATTATTTATCAGTCTTTCCAACACTGCTGTCAGGGCTAGGTCTAATTCCCTACATACATACCTCTCCTCACCTTGCCCACTGCAGCAGTGACACTGATGCACTAGATTGTTTTTCTACATTTCTGCATGTGTCCAAATTCAGAAAAAGCCTTTTAACCCAGAAGCAGGCTCAGATACTTCTAACTCTATCAACAACAAAGCCTGAAACAGAAGCATTTCAAGCTTTACTGAGTCCTCCCTTACCAGTTTTTCCACAGGAAGATACGAAAAAGCAAGAAGCTATGAAAAAATAACACCCTTTTAGAAACATGCCTTGTATACTAGAGCTTCTATAGCACCCAGGGTGCCCCGTTCTCACTGAGACAAACACAGGCACACACACTACAGCATCAGCTCCCACTCTAGCAATGACAGCCAGCACCTTTGCTGATCTCTACGTTTGGCAAAGCAAAGATCTCCAAATCCATGGTTCCTCCTTTTGCTGCACCTTCAGAAAGATCCAGAAGAACCACCTTGTCAGCAACACCCTATATGAGTAAAAACAATACAGATCAACAATAAAACCTAACTTGTTCCTGCCAGTGGTGGGGAACTGTAAAAATATATTTCTCCAGTTCAAAACAGTGTTTGTTGCACTGTGTGTACAGTAACTTCCAACAAGCCACAGCTTAGGCAACGAACTCTTAATTATGGATTTTCAAAATAAGTGCATTCCTAGTTTATCTGTCTGTATTTACAAAAGCAGAATGAGAAAGCATAGCAGAAACTAACACTTCTGTGTGTCCATAAATTAACAGGACAGAAGAGGCAAATGATATAGGCAGTAGCAACAATGTTAAAAGTGCTGAGCTACTTCTGTATCAGACACTAAGAACTAGACTGGAAGGCCCTGTATTAATTAATCAGGTGTACAGTGACTTACATTAATTACATACCTTTGCTACAACCGCCAGCACACATGCAATGCCCAGATCTCCAGCTCCAACCACAGTCACTTTGTTAAAGCACCCTCCGTTTCTCACTCCACCCATTTTACTCTTTGATTTTATGTCAGTCTCTCCTACAGTTAAAAGGGAAACACAAACTTAAGTGCTGATCCATACTACATCAACACAGCTACTGATGCTTCACAAAGGGTCGCGTCACAAAACACAAACCTCTTCAAAACAGTGGTCAAGTCTGATAACGCAACAATTCTCATACAATTCATGGAGATTTGTAACAGAAATATGAAGATTAATTGGACATACGTATTGCATGCACAAAGATTCAGTTACTAACATTAGGTAGGCTTTTATGTCGGGAGGAAGTTCTTTACAGAGAGAATGGTGAGGTGCTGAACAGGCTGCCCAGAGAGGCTGTGGATGCCCCGTCCCTGGAGGTGTTCAAGGCCAGGTTGGATGGGGCCCTGGGCAGCCTGGTCTAGTATTGTATGTGGAGGTTGGTGGCCCTGCATGTGACGAGGGGGAGTGGGCATTCACGATCCTTGAGGTCCCTTCCAACCCTGGCCATTCTGTGACCCTTATGATATCAAGTAATAAATAAAACATACGTTGCCTTAGAACTACAAATATATGAAGACATCTGCACCTTCAGTAATCCTTGCGATGTAGGAGAGAAGTTCTGATTGCCTGTCTGCATCAGAAGATGACAGTGAATACAAAGGCAGCTCCTCCTCAAATTTTGCAATCATTTCCTTGATTAATCCAATGATAGTTGATTTAGGCTGAAATATAGGAAGAAGACAAAACTGTTGAGGAGCTCTTTCATATCGTTTGGTACTTGGAGCAAACACACTGTGAAGTCAGTAGAAGTTAAAGCAATAAAAGCAATTCCCATCCATGGGAATTTCTATAATAATCAGGAAAAATACCTCTCATCATTTTTAGAAAACCAGCTTTCAGTAAATCACCACCGTGGGCCTGACAGTTGCATTTAAGTATGTTATCTAGATGGAGAACATAAAATCATTTAGAAACAGCAGCGGGTTTTCAATCTCCATCCATTCATAATGTTATAGTCAGAAGAGACATCCCCAAAAGATAGGAATTTCTGTGGAACTTAACTGGAGATACTCCGTTTGTCAGGTATGCTATTCATTATTCAATGCACTATGGGGGAAAAGAGCCAAAAGGCCCAAAAGTAACAGAGACAATCCCCCTATTTTTTTCCCAGCTGAAAAGAGTTTTCCTTACGATCACCTATAATCTTCCTTGTAAACCCTTTGGATGGGCTGAAAGCTGTAATTTTCTGAGGTGTAATATCACTTCTCTTAGCATAAGCATTCCATATTTAACAAGCAACGCAAAATACAAAAAGCTCCAACCAGACCCACTGCTCTGCACCGCTCTCCATGTAGAATTGTGCATTATTCCCAGACATCTCCCTCCTCTTACATGGCTCCAGTTCTGCAGATAGGGCAAATAAATCCTGCCGTGAGCATCCACATGCTTCCCCACTGCAATGCCCATGTTGGCAGTCGGCTTCAGGAAGCAAATGGGAGGAGCAAAGGGATGAGAGTCCAAAATCCACAGACGAATGGGTATATTATAGGAGTTACCTGTTCAACATAAACCAAAAGCCATTACAAGCTTCCGCACTGAGAAGAAACGCTAAGAAACAGGTCTGTGTGCACTTCATAATAACAAAGAGAAAAGAAGCCAGACAAATAAATGTCCTGATTTGCACTTAAAGCATTTATGTCACTTAGGCTGGTTGACAGAAGCAGACTTGTCTGGATCATCTTGGAGCGTCACTGATGAGTTGTAATTAACACAGGAATTTTTCCTCTTGTTGTTTTTCCACTGGCATTTTATCAGCCAACATGACCAGTTCTATAGGCAAATAAACTTCTTGCTGCAATCTTTTATTTATTTTTATTTTTTAAGAACTCACGATAACCGATACAAAGAGGGATCTATTAAGAGCTTTACCTCAGCTTCAAAGGCTTTAAGTTCAGAAATAAATACTTACTAGTTCTTTTTAAGCACTCTCCACACACGTGTAGGGCTTTCAAAATTCAAGCAATCTCCATTGGAACCAAAATGTTTGACTACACTGTCTCACGCTACGTGACTTTTTTAAAATAAAGTGTTTACTTGACTTGAATCATAGAACGGCTTGAGTTGGAAGAAACCTTAAAAGTTGCCTGGTCCAACTCCTCTGCAATGACCAGAGACACCTACACTACATCAGCTGCTCAGAGCCCCATCCTGCCTGACCTTGACCTGTCTCATAGCACCTTATTTCAGTATCTATATGTACATAAAGAATAGAAATGGCTTCTGCCAATTCAGGCAAAATCCTAAGCCACTTTTAATGAAGAAGCAGTTCAAAGAGCAGCACAGGTTATACCAAATCCCCAAAGGCACAATTTGCAGACCTGTATTCACATTCTCGAGTATTTGATCCTAGCGTGTGTAAATTAGCCCTGAGCACACCCAAAATGAGAAAGGATGCCTCATCTCATACATGTAAGCTTAGCATAGCCTCATCTAATAATTCAGAGGCATAGCTGGCATGTTGGAATCTGCCGTTCCACTTCATTTACAGCACATTTAGGAGCAAGCTTAATTCCCACTAGTTGCTGGAAATGAGGTGCAGCGCTCTCCCTTCTCCCCTTTTCTCCAGCCTGACTCCCAGAGGAGAAAGGCCACTGCTGCCACTTCAGCCATGCCTCTTTCTCAGGCTCTCCACAGTGTGTCGCTGGGATGCACAGCAGGTAAGGAAACCATACACAGCAACTCCTACCATATTTCACCGGGACAGTGCCACTGAAATTCAGGAGGTCTTTCTGGGATCCATCCTTGAAGGCTGAAATTAAAAAAAACAAACAATCCTAATGCAGAATGACAACAATACGCTCCTAAGCACAGAATCATAGAATGGCCTGTGTTGAAAAGGACCACAATGATCATCTAGTTCCAACCCCCTGCTGTGTGCAGAGTCGCCAACCAGCAGACCAGGCTGCCCAGAGCTGCATCCAGCCTGGCCTTGAATGCCTCCAGGGATGGGGCATCCGCAGCCTCCTTGGGCAACCTGTTCCAGTGCCTCACCACCCTCTGTGTGAAAAACTTCCTCCTAAAATCTAACCTAAACCTCCCTTGCCTCAGTTTAAGACCATTCCCCCTTATCCAAATGTGTTCCTAGAAACCAGAAGCATCACTCTTGGCACAGACAGTACAGAATCCCACCCTGCCCCGCAGTCACTGGTGTTTCCCCACAGAGCCGGGCAGGCAAGAGCCCACTCTCCCCTCAGAGTAGCGCATCCCTCCTTACTGTAAGTGTTCATGGAGAAGGAGAAGTTCGGGTGCGCCCTGCTGACAGCCGTCACTTCCTCTACGGTCAGGTCTCTGAACTTGTACTGGGAGCGGGAGACAAAAACCCAGACAGAAACGTTTCGTCTCGGCGGCCCCGCCTTCCCCTTTCGCTTTTCCCAACCGAGGACCGCCGTAGCGCTGTGCCGATCCCCTCCCGGCCCCGCGCGCCCCATCCCGCACCTTGCCCAGCTGCTTCCGCAGCGCCTCCGCCGAGAACGCCATGGCCGCGGCCTCCCAGGCGGCCCCGCGCCTCCAGCCCGCCCCGCCCCGCCCCGCCTCCTCCAGGCGCCGTGCGCCTTACGCGGAGCCCGCGGAGCTCGTGGGTTTTGCTGGGAAGCCGAAGGCTCGCAATACGCCGTTGGTAGCGACTCACCTCAAGGCTGAGGGCTGGAGCACTGGTGAGGGGCTCAGCTACAGCTGCTGGCTGTTTTCTTTGAGGCTTGATAGAAAACGTGGCCAGTTAGCGGAGGAAATAAGCTGTGTTTTCTCACGTGCTAAGAGAGGGTAAAATAAAATGAGGAGCTCCTGCAACGCGGAGCACACAGCTTGCCAGTTCTACTCGGTGCTACACAAGAGGAAAATAGCATCTCCTCTGTCTTGCAATGGCATCCTTTAGGTCTGACCCTTGGCTTAGCCTTGGGCATTCTGTATCTTTGTGCTAGCTCAGAGCACAGAGTTCTTGAGAACGTGAAACTACCCAATAAATTATTTCAAATAATTCCCCACGGCAGAAAAAAAACCATGCAGTAACACAAGCGGTCTGAATTAGGAGTAATGGAAGAGGAATTGCAAGTTACACATATTACGTGCTTTGTGCAAAATGTACGCTTCTGGAATGGACCCGAGTGAACTCTTGCAGATACTGAAGGTCCCAAAACAAATGAAGACCAAGGGGTGGGAGCAAAAGTTTCCTCACCAAACCCATCACGTTGGCTTTGGCTCTGGCAATATCACAGGTAAAACATTTAGCTCGCTGTCCACCTCTGTCATCACCTAAGAGGTGGTAGACACATGCCTTTCCTCAACTTAGGAACACAGAGAAACTGAGATGTTGCATTCAAAATATAAAAAAACTTAATGAAATGGGAAAAGGATATACATAAAAAAGACCCTTACAAAGAACTGGACAGAGAAAATCTCCAAAGCAAATAAATCACCAGTTCAAGAAAGCCATTTAGCAGCTAACCTAACAGAGGTTAGGACCAAACCACGGATACATTTCATTACCTCAGCAACCTCCTGTGTTTGATTTCATTCTATTCAGTACATTAAGCATGGTAGTTGAAGGTTCTTTGGATCCCCAGACGTGTGGGAAAAAAAAAGATGAGCAATTCCATATGCACTTAAACTGGTAAGTAAAAGGCCATCTTTTGGATGACTGAACTGCAGTTCTGCCTTGTGGGATTAAGATGTTATTTCAAATTCAAGCTACAACTAAAAGCTGCCCTTCAATAAGGAAAAGAATTAAAAAAAATATCTGAGTAAAATAGTTCTATTGCTTCCAGAGAGGGACAGCTTCATCAGCTGGAATATGCTAAATCAATGTAGAGTGACCTGCCTATTTTGCCTTAAGATAACAACTTACTAGAACGTTGAAGATGTATTAAAAATCTCAAAGGCGTTCCATTCAGGGTAAGATTTCATGCCTGCAAAACAAGGTGCTGGTTGGCCGCTGATCAAACAACTAAGGGGCAATATAATGTTATTATTATATGGCTTTTTAAAAGCACAACAGAGTGGAAGCATCCATTTTTTTTTCAAGCAAAAGGAGGCAGATGGGCTTAATTTGAGGGAAGGTATTCATTTATCCATTTGCAATAGTTTGCAATGCTAGCTAACCAGAGCTAGCACTGGCACTGACCTCCAGCTGACAAAGCAGTAAATGGTTCCATAGCAGACAGTGGTAGAAAAGGTGCAGGTTCTTCACATGGGAAGAAGAGAATCTGAGAAAGATGCTGCTCATGAAACTGCAAGATGAAACACCATATATTTCAGGTGGAAGAGATGAAAGGCAGCTTGTATACTTGTTTATATCATTTTTAAGTTCATGTTCCTCCAAATATATATTATATTAGAAGCCTAAACCGTAGGAGATGCCAATCAATTTCAGCTCCTTTTTGAATGCTTAAGGGACTCCATTAATTTTTTTCTTGCGTGCTGCATGGGAACAAGAGAACAGTTTTTCTTGGAGAACATTCAGCCTAATGCTGTTTCATGTAACAGCTCAGAAGAAAACAGCAGGAAAAAAAATGTCTTCTATAAAGTAGACCAATGAGATGTAGCAGTAAAATGTTTAATGCCTGTAATTTATTGTCTGCAAAACTTATATGCATTTGGTGTGCAAAAGTATACACTTTCTTGACAGCACCAGAAAACAGTTAAGCTATGTAAGTTTTTAAACCTGATTTGTCACATTGTGTAAAAAGACATTATGCACAATGGATATCCCCAAAGGAAATCATTGGCTAAACCTAGAAGCACCCTTATTTACAACTACCACTTTAATATTGCATTACACCCACTCACCAAAATAAATATAAATACATTCATCACACCTTAAACACAGTCTCTCCATATATTTATTTTCTGACATGTTTTGGTCTCCAGAAATACGCTGTATCTAGAAATAGGCATCAGCTACTAGATTATGTTACAAAATGCAAAAAAAATAGAAAATTAGTTTTCCTGGACAATATTTTGGGCTTTACACAAAAATAAATCCAGATTTCCATAGAGATCTCATAAACTTCTTGAAAGATTTTTATTTTAAAGCACAGCACAGAGTTGCACACTAAGGCTTCCTGTGATATGCAAAACCCTGGCCTCCAAAAAGACTGCTGTAAAGTGAAATACAGCTCAAGCGTAAGTACAAGACATTTTCAAAAAGTAGTCATCAATAGAAAGTGCCCTTCGTTTGATTTAGCGTTATCAGTACAGAAGTAGCTACTGTAATTGTGCAATCAAAGCCAGACCTGGAAGGGCTTTATGCAAAGGACGTCACCATCTCACACCACCAGGCTTAAGTACACAGAATCTGAGATAGCAGAAACTGACCAACCTGTTCATACTCTACATTCATTAGTTTTTGACGCAATTTAGTATAAAAGGCACATCGTCAAGCAGTGAATTAAAAAAAGAAAGAATCTAAAATCCAAACCAGAATTTCATTAAACACAATTAAGTCATTAGCTCAACATCAGATCCTCATAAACCAATAGAAGAATTCTTCCAGTTTTTTTCTTAACCTCAAATTTGGATGCACTTTGGATGAGTACCAAAGTACTCTCGTGAAGATTAATAATGTTAATCTGGCAAACAGCAAACATGATTTTGAATACGAGGCCCTCCCAAGTCCATTTACAAATACGCAGCACATGCAAACCCAACAAAAACCCAAACACTTGTACAAAATTTGAAAGCCACTGGTGTCCCGTGCCAATTATGAGAAAGTACTTGATTGTAAAATGACAAATGTGTCCTTGAGCAATTTTTCATACGAAACAAAAATCAAGCAATCATTGTGTGAAGTTAAACAAGTGTCTTAGGGAGGCTGGAAGAAGAGACCGCATTCCAGTCAGCACCTCAAAGACCAAAGTGCTTTAGATTAAGAAATTTAACCGACCGTGTGCAAAGCAATGAAATCATCAGGGTTTATTTAAGCTTCGGTTATCTGAAATGCAGATTTAACTCCAAACCGAATTCCAATTTCAAATTATTACGTGAGCATCTTTTGCTTCATAAGAGACTGTTTTCAGCCAGGCAGAAAATTGCTTGCAAGTGATACTTGTCCAGGCTGACAGACCTAGGAGCCTTTCTCCAGCTAAACAAACCAAAAAATCCACACCAAGCAAACAAACAAACCCACAGTCAATCATGGTCCCAGAGATCATGGCCATGTTTGGGGAATTCGGGGAACTACAACAGCAAATGTGAGGTGGTCCCATTAAGCAGAGTGAATACAACGCACTTGCAGACAAGCACTGAGATTACACTATCTTGCATGGTCTCGAGTGTATACACTGAGAAACACCTTTTTGTTAGTTAATATACAAAGTTAAAAATACAGAGGAGCAGTGACAGTTACCATCCATGCTCCTACGCAACTAATACTGAATTAGTTTATAGAATCCATCCCAATAGCTTACTCATGTCAGTGTTTCGCTAAGGCAGTGAAATGCTACACCATCAACAGAAAATGCCTCAAAAAAGCAAATGTTTTTTCCTTCATTAAGAGTTAGATGTGTTGATTCCAGCAGCCTCCAAGCTGTCTGAACTGTGTTCTGGAAGCAGCACTGTTTTAAAAAAAATTGCCCTCTGAAGGAATCTTTAAAGGTTCCTTCACTATTTTTCTAAGTAACTTTTTCTTTTTCTTCATTTTTCTTTCCCCCAACATATATCCCAAGCCCTTTTTGTACTTTTCTAAGTACTTCAAGTATTAAAACATAACAGCTTCAATAGCTATAGGTGAGGGGCTATCAGCGGGGTCTTACTGCTCACTGAGCAGTGATACTGGTGAGCTTTGAAGGATAACTTGGTGAATCAAAGCAGATGCAACACCAGCTTCGAGCTTCGGACTCTTCTTACAACCCCTATTGATTTTGATGAACCCCATGCTGATAAGTAAACAAACTCAGTTACTGAAGGAAACAAGTCTTCAAATGCATAGTTAGAAATAATGTGCAAACATGGGCATTGGGTAACACAACTAACTCTCCTGACATGCATTTTGGATTTCTGATTTGATGAATTTAATCAAAAGTATTCACTGTGTCATACAAAGTGATCGACATCCAAGAGCTAGCTGCAAGTACTTTGGAAATGTGTTTTCCAAATAGTACACCTGATTAGATAAGTGACTGCTCCACATTTTAAATCATTTAACACACCTGATGCTTAACAGAAGAAAAAAACATGTGCACAGCACACAACCTGTAAAAGAACAGAGGCTTTTAGACAAATGCAAAGACTGACAGGGCAGGAAAAGAATTCCTAAGCATATGCTTCAGCTCAAAAGCACAAGTTACACACAAACACTAGAAATTCCTATTTTCAGGATGAGCATTTATCCTACTGAATGTGATTGGCATTGAAATTCCAGACACAGCAGAAGCCAGCCTAACCTTTTGGTGATATCTCTAACTGTACATTTTGCAAGTGACACGCACTTCTCCATTAGGAAACATGACGATTCCAGTTCAGTTATTGTGTATGGGTCCTCAAATCAGAAAAATATACAGCACTTTATTGCTTTGAACATTTGTGGCAACGGCTGAATTCACACCCAAGCTGCTTCTGTATAGAAGATGATGTTTCAGAAACTTTGAGGCTTAACTTAGGAGACAGAGCAGGGTATAAAGCAATTTCTCTCTACATCTCAAAAAAAATACCAGGGAACAAGAACACTACTCCCCCAGTGCTATTCCTTCCTTTCAAGTGAATGCAAAATTGGTTTACTTGTATATGGGCCCGCACAATTCCACGTCAGTGCATAGTTAGTCAATATTTCTGCTGGCATCTTGAACTGATTTAATCAATGGAAACATTTCTTAATTTTTCTTCTACTTAATAATATGCATTAGTGCATTAATTTCTCCATAAAAAAATCAACCCTTGGCAAGTATTAAAAATAAATATCTTATATAAGTCAAACTAAAGCCTTTATTTTTCAGTTCTTTTATCCCTTTACATATTCTTTTGCCCTCTAACAAGCAAATGGAAACTGAAGAACAGGAGATGTATGGAGGCAGAGGGTAGCAAAAAATGAAAGAAGTCGACGCTGTAAGTCAGTTAACGGGTCCTCAGCTTCTTAGACTGTCTCTTGCGTTTTAGTTCTTCCTCTTCCCGTCTCAATTCCTCAAGGTCTTCCTGAACACCGAGTCTCAAGCTGCCAAACAAGTTGAAATCCTTTACAAACTGCTCATCAAACATGAAATTTGACTTCTCCCCCAAGAAAAGAAATCCTAATATAATTGCAGCTGATTTGAGCAAAGGTGTTTTAGATCAGTTCATAGGTTTTCTTCAATTACAGTAAGCATACAGCTTAAAGGAAACAAAGAGCGTACCTAAGGAAATCAAGATGCTCTCACCATTAGAGCAGAATCAAATCTTTTGAGGGAGAAACGATTTAAAGTTTTCTTTAAAGAAAATTATCATTATTTAAAAAAGGTTTTACTAAGATCATTCTTTTTTTTGAAAAGAAGATGTTGGAACATGCATCAATTCCTGCCAACATAACTTAAATACAAGTCACAGCAGACAGACTCAGTTCAGCTTTTCTGAGAACCACCTACACCTTTCTTTAGGCAAGAGTGAGAATGGATCCATCAAACAGAAGCAAGAGGCTTTGTGGCAGCTTACTGACAACAGGCATTATTAACGTAGCTACATGAACAATGCTGCCTCACCCTCAGAACCCACCTAGTTGCCCTGCCTCTGATGAACAGGCACAGAGAAGAGATGCTGCTGAGCACTGCATGTTCTAGCTGTGTCCTCGTGTAGCCTCTTCAGCTTCTGGGCAGCCTGCTGAAAGCAGCAGTACTGAAAACAGCACCTACAATCCCTGACCTCCTCTTCACTTAAGAAAGGCTGGATGGCCTTGCTACTTGATGCTAGGAATAGGTGTGACAAAGCTCCTATTTTGTCATCAGCTACTGCCTGCTTTGTCTGCAGGCCTGTGAAGTGCATTTGTGCTTCATTAAGAAGCAGCTTAAGGCAGTTTGCACCTCATTACTACAAGGTTGATAACATGACCACCTATCATTCAGCTGTTCTAGGGTAACTGCTCCAGTTCAGGCTCTGCTTATGCCTATAACAAGCAGAGAGAAATCATCATGAATTCAGGAGACTGCAGTCATCCAAGTTCAGGCAGTAAAAAACCAAACACTTCAAAGATCTACACGATTGAAGTGTGGCTAGAAGCATTATTTTCCATTTCAATTTAGAACTTAGTAATTTTAACAGGCTCTTTTGGTTAGAGAAAGCTCCTCATGCCAAGGGTCAAGATGCTTTTAACCAAATTCTCAGTGAAAAGCTAGCTGAAGATAGATTGTTTTACTGAAGTTTCCTATCTGCCCTTTTTTATAATAGCAGGTGTTAGAAGCTTAGTCAGGTGTTAAACTTTGCAAAAACCCACTGTAGGTCTTCAACACAGAATTCAGTGGACAGTGATATCACTGTAAAATTCCATTTACTTCTCTGATTAAGAGACTACAGCATGAGCAGCAGCTGTCCCTAAGAGCAGGGAGAAATAAGAACACTGACTCTAACTTCCAGAAGGCTCTCAGTACTCAAGGCACTCTCTGGATAGCAGTGTAAAAAAAATAAATCTCAGAAGTAAAAATTTGACTTTACATTTCCAGTTTTCCTTTTGCTTATTAATAAATAGGTAAAAACCTTTTGTAACTCCTACAAGGCTTTGCAAAGTGTATTGCAGACATCTTCCCATCAGGCATGGAAAAAGCAGAAAGCAAATCACTTCGTGAATGCCAGGCTTTCTAACAACCATGTAAGGAATGTGCAGCTCTGGAGGCTGAAACTAGTGCTCAAAACCAATATGAACATCAAGCCTTTGTTTCTGAAATCTCTGGTTATAAATGTGTGTCAGAGCATTCTTTTTATATCCATACACACAAAACACACATGGAGAGATTGTTAAGTTTCCTCCCAGACCTCAGGAGCTAACAGTATCTATGTTTAGGACAAACCAAAGGGCTTAGCATTTCAACTGTAATTCAAATACTTTTACAAAAGTTTTGGGCATCAGTTGGTATAATTCTCACTGGTAAAGACTGTGATGCACTGGAATGAACATACAGGATTTATTTACTGTACTCACTATCCCACTGGCAAACTAGTTGGCTCAGCTTCTACCTAAGCTTTCTTATCAAAGATGGGAAGACTTAGCTGCTTTGCTATAAGTAGCAGCAGATATCCCCATGACTTGGGCAATAAATAAACCTCCCACTTCCTATTTTAACTCAAGTCCATGCATACCTCCTGGCTTCTTCTTTCTGTTGCTCTCTCCAGCTGCTCTCCATGTAGCGTAAGGCATAATCGCTTTCATCTTTATATCTGGAAATTAAATAGTAGCATTTAGACACTAAAAAACCACGATCATATACAGCCGAGGGAGGAATTCACATCCTGGTAGAAAGAAAACTTAGCTTAGATTGTAATGTTTTGAAAGAGTGACTACAAGTGTTTAAAATGTTTGCTTTTTTATATCTTGTTATCAGACAAAAGGAAAGTAATTAAATAAGCCAGAGTATTAATTTTGCAATGGTTCCTAGGTACACAGAGATACCAACTTCAATTCTCACAGAACTGCTAACACCATTGCATTTAGCCATTCATATTCAAGCTGCAACACCTGATGAATTCTGGAACGCTACTGCTATAAGAAAACATTTTAACACATGTTGATAGAAAAGAGTTGCTATGGGTTACATAAATGACAAGTTACAGAAGCTATATTGTTTTCCATTATGTCCCATTTGCATCAGACTTTCTCTTGCTTTCCAGAAAAGCATGGCAACAAAAAAACCCACATTTTTTAAGCCAGTAGTTTGCTTATTTCTAATAAATTAGCCCAATGACCTTATCTCTGTTGTTCCATTGCTCGCTTTACAGTATATAAAAATTTACATTTTTTCCTACCTTTTCCGGTCATAGCCAAATATTTCCCGAATATGTTTTGATATTTCTTCTTGGGGTTCCCCTTCATCTTCAATAAAATCATCCATTTCAGAGTCATATTCATCATCTTCGTCATCATCATCTATTTGTCTTTTGTAACCAACAGGTGGTCTCCCAATACCTAAATGAAAGGGATGTGAAAAAAACATCAATGAATAACACACATTTATCAGTACTTTTTGTTGCTATGCTTTGGGCTTTGAGGCAGAAAACTGCTGCCTTGAGCTAATTAGAAATTCTTAAAGTCAGTAAAAGGAAACACTTCCTCTGCTAACATCAACTGCACCCCAAGGAAAAGCACCAGACATAACTCCACATTCTTGTTCAAAGTTTTCTAGGTACTTATTTGCTAGAGTTCATGCTGCTTTCTCCTGTTCAGGAATCCATTTTTAGAACTACTCACTTGCTGATAAGGTGAATCAGTGAAAACATGTAGGTATCAATCACAGGTTTGCTGTGAATTAAGCCCCAGGCCCTTACCTCAAAGAATGTGAGCTAGGGTCAAAACAAATGAAGAGTTGCAAAGGGAAAAAAAACCCACAACATTCCATTGCTTAATGCATTCTTTAAAAGATAAATACGGTATTTTGTCTGAGTTTTCTTGGATAAAGATCATCACTGACTTCAACTCAGACATATCAGAAATATGGGACAAACAACTAATTAAAAAATTAATTGCTACAGAACTTTGTACCTTGTGAGCGAAATGGAGGCCTATGCCCTTGAAGAGATCTCATTCCATTCATCTGTCCATTGCTGGGCCTCGTCACTAGGTTTTTGGAAGAAATAGTTTCTGATACGACAGTACACCTGGGCTTTACAGCTGTAAAGCCAGGTCGCCCAGGTCCTGCACTCGGGCTGACTCCTGGCCTTCCCGGCCCCGTTCCTGCGCTGCTGCCTGGCCGCCCAGGTCCTGCACTCGGGCTGACTCCCGGCCTCCCTGGTCCCGTTCCCATGCTGCTGCCCAGTCGCCCAGGTGCTGTATTTGTGCTGTTGCCTGGCCTTCCCGGGCCGGTGCCTGAGCTGCCACCTGGACGCCCAAGTCCAGTGCTTGAGCTGCCACCTGGCCTTCCAGGTCCCACGCCTGAGCCGCTGCCCGGTCGCCCAGGTCCCATGCTTGAGCTGCTGCTTGGCCTTCCAGGTCCTGCGGCCGAGCTGCTGCCCTGTCGCCCGGGCCCTGGGCTTGAGACGCTCCCTGGCCTTCCTGGTCCCATGCCAGAATTGCTGCTTGATCGCCCTGGTCCTGCACTTGATCCTCCGCCTGGATGCCCAGGTCCTCCCTTTCCTAAACTGCTGCTGGATCGTTTTGAGCTGGAGTTCATTTCATGCGGGAGGGCTGCAGCATTTCCTGGTTTTGTATGGACAGGCCTTTTCAGGCTGGATTCTTTAGCAGACGGTAACCTTTGAGCCCCATTGGCCATTGGCTTTGAAGATGGCACAGGAAAGCTTGAGCTAGACTTTCCCATACCGTTGACAGGTAATTTACTATGACTGCCAGCAGTAGGGGTTTTCAAGGAACTATTTTGTGAGGTTTTTACTTTTTCCATTTGACTCAATTTGGAAGAAGATAAAGACCGCGAGTGCTTGTCCGTCAATGCTGGTGCTTTGGATTTCTTATCAGTACCACTCAGAGAAGAGAGGCTGCTTTTTGGAGAGGCATGTTTATCTGCTGCACTTTTGCTAAGTTTTGCATCTGCACATTCCTTCAGGGAAGTTGCTTTTTTTGAAGAACTGGATATCCCTGTATTCTTAACCTCCTTCTCGGTTTTCTTTTTCTGCATTTCTACTCTCTTATTTTTGCGTTCCAAATACTCCCTCTCTCTCAATTCTTCCGCAGTTCTGGGTCTCTCTTCTATCTTTTTCACTACTTTTATTTCTACCGGTTCATATTGTTTTTTTTCAGCAAGCCTTAAAAGATCTGCAAAGTTGAGAGGTGCTGGTGCACTTTTGGGTGGCGCCTTTGGTTTGACCGCAGCTTTGGATGGTTTCTCATCATATTCTTCTTGCTCATACTCCGATTCAGTTTGAGTAAATTCGAGTTGCTCTGCTTCATTTTCTGTTGCATACTCAGCCTCGGGGGCCTGAGAAACATTCTCACAAGTCCTCCTCCTCTTTTTAGACTTCTCTTCAACGGGAATACCGTTATAGCCATAAAAGTTATCCTTTGTTCGTGAAGCCATAGCTCTTGCCTTCCTGTCATGTTTCAGTTCAATTCGCTTAGCCAAGAGTCGTTCTTTCTTTCTTTTTTCTTCCAGTTCTGTAAAAGAAAAATCAGGAGAAAGTTAAACAAAAGCACTACTCTTTTATTTCGGGGTCTTCTAAACTGATAAACCATCTGAGACAATAAGATACCTGGCTAACAGCTATTCAGAATAGAGCAGAACACCATCAGAGGTCTGCCAACAGGGCAACGTGATCCATCTGAGTCAGCTGTTTTTACAAAAGTGAACTATTAAGCCAAATACAGCTCCTACCAAACCTGCTAAGCTGAGTCAACAGAAGCAACTCTCCAGAATGCTACACAAACTACAAGAACTCCGTGGTAAAAAGACACAGGACATGGGATCTCTGAGGAGAAAGAGTTCTGACAATGACTAAAAGAATTTTGAGACTGCACAAAATTTACTATCAGATGTTTAAGTAAAGGTGAGGAAAGGGAGGGATGGATGGAGGAGTTTAAGGGCAAGGGAATATGCCCTGGAAAGTAGACTGAGGTGCGGAAGCAGGCAGTTACCGATGAGCAAGCTGCAGGTCACTGCTTCTGTGTGACAGTGCCCTGTGCACCATCTCCACAGCCTGCCCTATATTGTTCCTAAATTGTTTTTACCTATTTCCTGCATGAGTAGGCTCTCCATCTTATGTGTCTTGTGTATGATCGGTTGATGTAATTCAGGCTGAACTCGATGGTGAAAAGATGAGAGGTCTGAGCACCGGATACTGGAGAGACAGGGAATAGGGGCCAAATACCATAAAGACTCAGGAGAAAGGGGCATCTCTGAGCATCAGTTCCTAGAAATCGGACAGGGCAACTCATGCTGTGCTTTAAATGGGTTCCTGTAAAGGTACCATCCCCAGCCTACATTGTTCTATTTGTGAGTGGCCATGACTGACCACAGGATGAGTAAAAGCATGAGTATTTCCTATTCACACTCGATCTTGCCTTTGGCTGCACTTGGCAGCAGGGATAAGGAGCTGGCTCATGGCTGGCCCAGAAGAGGAATACTCTGGACTACCCAGTCCATCTCACTGTGTTGTAACATAGCGGGGAAAAAATGTGTCTTAAAGCCTTTGCAATTTAAAACCCAAGCATTACTGAAAGAGAAGCTTAAGACATCACCACAAACTGTTATCACGTTTAGACAAACACGGATTTTCAAAATTAACAGAAATCCAGGATGGTTTCTTGCAATCTTTCCAACTTATTTACTTCCTGATGTCCAAGAGTAAATGCTAGCGAGCTGATTAACATTTAAATCCTTAGGAAAGCATGTAAACATCCCTCGCAGTGACTTTTCCACTGGTGTTCCCTCAGCATCAGCAGTTATATGCACGAATTCCAAAAGCGGATGTAAAAGTCCATTTGCCAGAGCTCTTAATGGGATCAAAGTATCAAAGAGTCAGTGAATGTCTTCCACAGAATGTAGTTTAGGCTGCTTTAAAAATTACCTTTTTTCCTTTTTTCTTCTTCTTTCCTTCGGAGAAATGCTTGTACTGCTGCAGACTCAACACCCTTGACCTTTGGAACCTTTTTGGGAGGGCCAACAGCCAAACTGTATCTTTTCTGTAAAGAACAAATGAGTATGTCAGAGAAATTAATAAGTATCTCTTTTCTTGAAACGGAAGGATTTCATATCAGTCATATTTAAGCATAAATAAGCATAAAGTTCATTTTAAGCACAGATGGTACAGAATGATAATGCAATAGCTGCATCAGTAATGGAATAAAATTATTTCAGGTCAGCCTTATGAAGTCTCATACAGCCTTATGAAAGTTATCTAAAAAATTATCCAGTAAAGATATCTACATCCAAATATTTCAGAGGCAATAGCCTGATTTCCTATTGATTTCAACAGTTCTAACCTGATCCATTCAAACAGCAGCACATTACTCAAATTACTTGATGTTACTGATATACAAAGCTATACATTACCTTACATACACATACACTAAAAGCCAAGGTTCAGAGATGATTCTAAAATACAGCCAACACTGTTGGCAGGCAGGGTGGCTACATACCAGCTCTTCATAGGCACTCTACTAACTTGTGAATGACCAACACAAAATTACAGGATGCAACATCCATCTACATCACAGCTGTAAAACCTGACAGGTTTCCTCAGCATATTAAAGAGCTTTTACAATCAACTTTTACAGTCAAGCTCAGCTATTGAAATCTATCTAAGCACTACCAGCACTTCGCTGCTACCTGAGAGCTGGTTTGGTTACCCTTATGGCCCTCAGAAGCCTCATTTTCTGCAATGCAGTCCTGATATACACAAGGAAATTGGAACAGACAGGCAAAGCAATCCTCAGGCTTGATTGAATTATCCAATTTCTACACAGTTTTTAAAAAGAAAGTCAAAACAGAGGATTTCCTAAAATGGTTTTAGGCAGAAGGAGCACTTTTAAATGAAAACTGCCAGACAGCAGGGGACACGCGTAGATTCATCTCTCCCATTAGGAAGCCTTATAAAGAATTAAAATGATGGGGAAGCAGTTTTTGGGCTTTGTTTTGCTGCACTCCAACCGACAGTCCTATCCAGAAGTGGGTTTGTAAAGCAGCCTGACAGGCACGCTGTTTTCTCACTTCCATTAAGGTGAGAAATGGTGCAAAATTCAAGATTTCTGTTCTTCCTAGCAGTAGCATTTTTTGCTATTGATGCCCAGCTGAAAGCAGAGCTAAGTGTTTCATCAATGAAGATGGAAGTGAATGAGGTTCTGCACTGTGTACCACAACAGCTGTTGACGGAAATGAGCACTTTGGTTAGAAAAGGATTAAATAAACTGCTTTATTCTTTTTAAAAGCATTGGAACATACACATACTCCGCAACTACTGAGAAAATAGTTAACTTTCAATGCAAACCAACGTGCATCAGACTCCAGGTAGAAGTGGCAACTAAGTCAGGACATGTCACTGCCTTATCATCCAGGCAGCAGCAGCTGCACTGCTCGGGCTCAGCTATCTCTAGGGTGGTTAAATAACAGGGAAACAAACATTCTGCCTTTAGAGAGCAGGTCACGCTACTCCAGAGCACTGTGCTACCCAAGCTGTGAGCAGCACTCACCCTGGCAGGCAGCAGGTCCAGCAGCTCACGGATAGTGCTGAGGCAGCACGGGCACTGCTTGAGCCAAAGGAAAAAGGAAAGGCTGTGGAGGTGCCCTTCTTCAGCCACGCACCCTCAAGTGCTTCCTGTTAGCCAAGGGTATTTTCCAGAGGAACCAGCCTGTGTGAACTGTGCCATAACCACCTCCCCAGCAATTGCCCGGCACGACACGAGTGGTTGGCTCTGCACAACCTGATCTTGAAACACAGCACCTGCGTAAGCAATAGTTTTGCTGTGGACTCACACACCCAAGCTGAAGACAATTCCCACTTGTCCTATCACGTACAGGCAACTTTCATAGGCTGTCACATAATTTATGCTTTGTCCTCTGTATGTTACCCCACTTCTCGTCTTTCCTTATCACACACCAAGACACGCAGCCTTCTGATGTGGGAAGCTCCTGCTCCCCCCCTTAGATATCCTTCAAGGTGCAACACAGCATCAGTTAACACAGCTAGCAGCTCGAGCACATCAAAGCCCACACACGACCCTGTGGGTGCTGCCCTGCAGCCAGTTCTGCTCAGCAGGCGGCCATCACCTTCACCTGCAGGTCAGACAGGAGCTCTGCTCTATGGCAGTGCTCCACGCTTCACAGCCACTCCTCATATTCCTCTGGTAGGGCTTCTCTTGCCTACAGACAAGTATTCAGGAGTTTGCAAGTTTCACAGGAAGGCATTGCAACGTGTATCAGTCCTCTGAAGAAATCCTGGATTTTACTACAGTTTTACTTCCTTAAAAATGCAGCCACTTTAAGCAGTTGAGCAGCTTATTCTAGGAAATGAAATGCAAACCAAATTTCCAACAACTGCAGGCACTCATCCATTGTGCAGGAGGTTATTTTGTGATGCATAAGTTAAAGTGAGGCTTCAGCAAGTGCTGACGTGGACGATGATGACAAGCTGTTTCACTTCTAGGTCACCTCCGTGGTCACATCTGTTTCGGGTTCCAAATTCTGTCCACTCCAGATACACCCCCTGCTAAGGGGAGCAGGGACCAAGGTGAGATTGTTCCTAAAAACTACCAGTGATGACAGAAACCAGATAAAACAGAAGGATGACGGGCTGACTTGGCTCTTAACTACGCCCTTTTTTTCCTCCCCCCCCATTTTAAAGTAACTGCAATATTGTTTTATACAGTCAAGAATACCTTCCATACAAAGAGCTCAAAGTGCTTCCCAACATCCATTACATCCCAAAACACTCTTGCAGCATTAATAGAGAGTACCAACATAGCTGAAAAGAGGCATAAAGGCAGGATTTAAATCTTAAGGAGGTCAGCAGTAAATGCTGTTACTGTTACCATGTCTGATCAAAGCAAGCCTGCATTGAAAATCAGTGAACCACTGAACAGAAACACGTGTAAGGAGATACATCCAAAACTTATCCTTGCAATGTTACAAGGGAAAACTGAGCACAAAGATTATGCACAATACATGGCTAGTTACTACTCTAGTTCACAAACACACTACTGTATTTAGAAACAAAACCTGATGCAAATAACTGGGCACTGGAAGGTGTATTTTAGCAGTTCCACTGGGAGATGAACAAGCAGATCTATTTTTACAGGGACATGATGCAATCCTGTCCCTGTTTCATGATACAGAGCTATATTATTTCTGAGGCTGAGCTTTTCTGCAGCTTCTATACAAGTACAACCTGTGCACATTACTCTACTTTCCATTACAGTAAATGTGGGATATCTGAGTGCACCGTAAAGATGCTTTTAAACTTCTGCAAGGGAAATTCTGGGGGCGTGCTAATTAAAGCAGGAATCAGCATTTCTGGAAACCTGTTAATGTTACACACCAGTACATTTCGTAATTAGACTGTGCAGTGTTTTTAATCAGAAATATTTAAGACTAATTTTTTAGTCTTTTCATAGGGATAGGTGTTGTGCACCAGTTTCAGTCGAGTGCAGTGACTTGGATGTCAACTGATTGGCCTTTTTGGCAGGCAACTTCAGATGGTGCCAAGCCCAGCTCCATTTCTGCTCAGAGATTGTCTTTAGAGTTAAAGGCTGCACTGGCAGCGTGCAAAGAAGGCAGGAAATTAAAACCGCTTCAGCTGGGGATTGAATTGCACTCACTGCTGAGTTATCAGGTAAACCATAACCCTGCCTTCACTAAAAACAGCACCAAAGCTCTCTTGCACTGCACAACAGGTAGGGCTGCCTCCCAAAAGTACCATATCTGCATTGAGGATGTGGAGATAGAAACTGGGATGTCGAGTAGATGAAATATACGTGTGACAGAAAACAGTGGTGCAGCACACAGGAAAACTAATGAGGTCAAAGGAAACTTTACCACCGCAACCTCAAGTCAACAGTGAGATACCCTGGCTTACAAGACACAAAACATATTCAAAAACATACCAATGACACCAAGTTAGGAGGAAGTGTCAACCTGCCAGGGGATAGGAAGGCCCTACAGAGGGATCTGGACAGGCTGGATTGCTGGGCTGAGGCAACAAAGCTGTGAAGGGTCTGGAGCAAAAGTCTCACAGGAAACAGTAGAGAGAACTGAGATTGTTTCGTGCGGAGGAGGTGCAGGGGAGACCTTATCGCCCTCTACAATGACCTGAAAGGAGGCTGTGGCAAGGTGGGGGTTGACCTCTCCTCCTATGTAACTAGCAATAGGACAGAATGGAATGGCCTCAAGCTGTGCCAGGAGAGATTCAGGTTGGATATTATGAAAATTTCTCCTCCAAAATTCAAGTCAGTCAATTGAATCACCATTCTGGAGGTGTTCAAGAAACGTTTAGATGCTGTACTGAGGGAAATAGTTTGGTGGGAAATACTAGTGATAGGTGGACAGTTGGACTGGATGATCTGGCGGTCATTTTGAACCTTGGTGATACCATGATTCTACATTTATGTAATTGCTACTTTCCTACGTACGTTACAAATCACATTTCTACTCAGAGTCAGTCTGAGACCAACTAGATGACGAAACACTGAACGTTTCCTAAGGTACTTCAAGAACCCAATGGGACCTGACGAGTTACACACCTCTCCCCTACAGCTGCTCACAGTGCTGCTGCACATCCACCACGCTTAGCCAGGGCCACGGACCACGGGGCAGCGCTCGGTGCCTCTGCCTGTCAGTGCCAGGCGGGGTGCTCAGCGCTGTGCACCTCCTCCGCCTTCACCAAAAGGCCGGCGCGAGCTGCCCGTGGCAGAGCACGGCTGCGACGCTCGGTTACGCCGAACACGAGAAGCAGCGCCTACCGAAAACATTCTTTATGCAAATGAGCGCGCAGGCTGCGAGGGCCGCCCGTCAGCACACGCCCCATCGGGCTCACCCGGAGCGAGACGTGGCAGCCCCGCGGCTCCAGAGCGAACAAAAGCGCTCCTCCGACTTTTAAACGCCAGCATCGCCGGCGACGGCGGCTCCGCACTCGGGATCGCGGCGTCCCAGGCCCGGCGGTACCGGCCGGCCAGCACGCAGCGGCTCCCCGCGTCCCGCTCAGGACCGGGGTGAGGCCCGGCGGAGCCACGGGAAGGAGAACGGCGCTTCCTCCGGCCCCGGCCCGGCCGAGCACCGGAACGCCGCCCCAGCGTTCCGAACGCCTCTTCGCCCCTCGCGACCCCGCGGCTCACCGGCACGGCGTTCAGCCCCTGCTGCTCCGAGGCCATCACGAGGATGTTGTGGAAATCCATGGCCGGTTCCGCCGCGGGGCTGAGGCGCCCGCCCCGCTCCCCCCAGCCCGGCCGAGGCCCCGCCGCGCCACTCGGCTCCGCTCAGCTTCCGGCCGCCGCCGCCTCCCCCTTATATCGCCTCGCCTCGCGCCGGCGTCACAGCCCTGCGTCACTTCCGCTGGGCGGGACACGCTGTGAGGGGCGGGG